CTGGTGAAGTAGAAAGCACGTGAATCTTACTGTTCAATCACCGCTCTCCATATGCACCATCAACTCCTCGGGTACCACATATAACTTTGTCAAAGATCTCTGACAAAGTTTAGGCACGAGAATTTCGAAGTTCCAGCTACTCTACTATTACCCATAAGGGTAAAGGAACAGCACCACTGCTTGACAACTGGAAAGTCCCTATGTGTGTCGACCTCCGGGTTTTGCGGCAAGACAGGTTGGCAAGAACGTCCAACCTTTACTCACATTCGAGAAAAGACTCCCAACATAATTACTTTCTAAAAAAACCGGAGTAGCACCGCTTTCCGAATCTCGAGAGTCAGATCCTCGACGGGATTGCTTGTTCGAAAACCGAAGAGGCACAACTCTCAGAACTTCAAGAGCCAGATTTCCTTAGATAAAGCTTGTCTGTAATCTTCACACGTAACATCAGCTTTCCAGATACCACATACCACTTTTTTCAAAGTGCTCTGACAAAAATTAAAACACGTGAAGCTGGCAGCTCCCACTACATTGCTGTGACCAAGAAGGGTAAAGGAATAGCATTACTACTTGTTATTGGGAAATCCCTATATACATTGACCTCCCTCCTCAACGGACAGGCAAACCTGCAAAAATGCTCAACCCTTTCTCGCATTCGAAAAGGCACCCTCAACATAACCTCTCGAAATACTCAGCTTTATTTCCCCCCGATAATACCTCAGCAAATAAGCCACACCAAGAACAAGAGTATCTCATATCATCAGGGTCAAAAGCAAGAGTATCCCATATCATGTTTTCTCCCTATCTTTGTCTTTGTCCTTGTCCACACCTGCAGGACAAGGAGAAAGAGAGCAGTCAGTCGGAACCTGAAATCAAACCTCCAATTTGGAACTGACTGCCTGGAGCCTTTGCCTGGTTGCTTACTTAGCATTGCTCTCGAGTACTCATCCTCAACTGCTGTCAAGGTCACGAATTCCACCGGCAAATACCTCATGACAGTTGATCAGATATTGGCTCTTTACACTGAAGCTGCCAAGCGTGGATGAGTCACTATGAAGGAATGTTCTGAAGGACCATTTAAATGCAAAGGTTGCACACCACTTCTGCCATGCAAAAGATTAAAGCAGAAGGTTCAACGGTGAGCTGAAACAGATCACTACAGCACGACACCTTTCCATACCACATTCATTTATTCCGTCAACAGCAAAAGTATCCCATATCATCAAGGTCGAACGTACTCTAGATTTGATGGACTTGTTTTGACCCTCAAATTTTTTGAGTCGGCCTTATACTCTCTGAAGGGCACCAGAAAAACCCTCCAGCACAGTTCAAGAATAAGCCTGTGGAAAGTTACTTCTTCAAAAGCAAAAGTATCTCATATCATCTCTTATCCATTTGCTTCTCCTTATCCTGGCAGTTGAATGAGAGACAAGGAGAATGAGAACAATCAACCGGAAGCCGAAGTCAAACATCTGATCCTGGGTTGCTTACTTGGAAGTTTGACTGCTTACCTTGTCTGTCACCTCTTTCGGCAGATCTCCTAGCTCGGCGACTTGGGGGACTCCTACTATAGGGTTTGTATCACACTTGACTAAGCCCGAAACTACAACTAAGCTTCAAGTGAAATTGATACATTACCTTGTTCGTCAACATCAGCTAAATACACCATTCCCGGATGGAGGAAAAGTACTTCCAGAGAAGGGCAGATGAAGATCAGACCACACTTCGGTACTTAGAAGTTTCGTGATTACTCAAGGGATTGGATCTTGCAAGTCCCCAACCGAGGAGTTTCCCTCACTCGGGAACTTAGGGGAGCACTATTTGTACCATACTTGACCAATCCCGAAACTACCGAGCACCGGCCAACGCTATACTGTCAAGGACCCAGAAGAGTTCCCCTCCGACCAGGAGGCCAATCACTACTCGACACGTGTCAAGATTAGAAGCCAATCAGAGCGCAGCACGTGTCAACATCAAGAACCAATCATAACATGACACATGTCAATGTGACAAAGCTACAAGTTTTTCTATAAATAGGGGTCATTCCCCCACAATATTGCCTAATGCCATTTTGTGTTAAATCATTCACAAGAACTCACTAAATTGAGAGCTTGATCCTTTGTACTTGTGTAAGCCCTTCACTACTAATAAGAACTCCTCTACTCCGTGGACGTAGCCAATCTGGGTGAACCACGTACATCCTGTGTTTGCTTCTCTGTCTCTATTCATTTACGTACTTATCCTCACTAGTGACTGAAGCAACCAAGCAACCAAGCGAAGGTCACAAAACCTGACACTTTCTGTTGTACCAAAGTCTTCGCTGATTTTGTGCATCAACACATTTCACTTTCATACCTCAAGTACTATTTTATTTCAAAATAATACATCTGTTATATTTTCCATCCATTGATCCATTAAGTGCTGATGTGGCTGCCAAATTTATGTCATGTGGCAAAAATAATTATTTAAAAAAAACCTTAATCTTCTAAATTTACAAAAAAAAAAAAAAAAAAAAAAAAATCCAGATCCCCCCCCCCAAAGCCCCCGTACTTGAACCTGAACCAAAAAAAAAAAAGCTCTGAAACCCCGATCCATTACCCCCCCCCCCCGCCGCAAAAACCCAGTTCCCATTAAAAAAATAAACTCACTGCTTAAGACGATCCTACACTGAGAGGGCACGGAAATTGGGCTCGGAATTGAGGAATCGGCGACGAAAGCAACGAAAAGCAATAGTGAAAAGAAAGCAAGGATAGGGAGAAGGAGACATAGAGACCACCGGAGTATTAAATTGGCCACGCTGCCCTTCGCATAGGCATCCTCAAAATCCATTAAGCTTGGTATATTGCGTAAATTAAAGGGAATTTGCGGGTTTTTCTGCAAAAGGTCTGGCCACCGGAACCATTTATCCGATGATCGAAATACCTAGTCCCCAAGAGCACTGAACAAAAGGAAGAAGTGGAATTATTGATTTGTTTTTCTTTTTCTTCGTCGTTTCTGCAAAAACCCAGTTCCCATTAAAAAAACCCTAGATCCCATTATTCCTCCCCCCCTAAACAAAAAAACCCATATCACATACCTGGCAAAGTCCGACGGTCCGCACCTATCCTCCACCTCCTCCTCTACACCCAGCTCCACCTCCTCCGCGCACCCATCTTCCGCTACCCCAACCTACAACCCAAAAAAAAGAAGAAAAAAAAAACCCAGCGCACCCACCCTCGCACGCATCCACTTCCCTCATCTACATACCTCACTCCTTAAATTCACACTCATTGGAGAAGACGGGATCTGGGTTGCATGGAAAGGGAGATGAGTTTTTTTTTTTCTTTTCTTTTATGGGTTGCAGGTAGTGGGTGCGGAGAAGGAGGTGGAGGATTGGTGCACGGTAGGTTTGGGGAAGATGGGAGGGGGAAGAAATGAGTGGGTTGCAAGGAAGGGGGTCAGGGAAGATGAATATGGGGTTTTTTTTTTTTCCTCTCCTTTTCTTCTTCTGGGGTGCAGGTTGTGTGGGTGGGTTGCGGGTTCAACTTTTGATTTTGGCTTTTGGTTTTTTTTTTTTTTTTAATGTAGAAGATTCAGGTTTTTTTTTTTAAATTAAAAAAATATTTTTTTTGCCACATGACACAAATGTGGCAGCCACGTCATCACTTAACGGATCAATGGATGGAAAATGTAACAGATGTATTATTTTGAAATAAAATAGTACTTGAGGTATGAAAATGAAATGTTTTAAAGATGTTGTATGAGGTTGTAATAGACATCAAACATGAGGGGCTAGTATGTAATTTACCCTATTTTTAATGTATACAAAAATAATTTTTTTTACCACATGGCAGCCACATCAGCATTTAACAGATTAATGGACGGAAAATCTAACGGATGTATTATTTTGAAATAAAATGATACATGATGTATGAAAGTGAAATGTTTTAAAGATGTTGTATGAGGTTGTAATAGAACTCAAACTTGAGGGGCTACTATGTAATTTACCCAAAAAAATATAGACCGAGTCAATGCTTAATAATTTGAGAAAATAAGTCACTTGCTTTGTTAATTATTGTCTTAATATTTTTATATAGGTCCATCCTACCCTTGAATTAAATTATGAGTTTTTTTTTTTTTGTCGAAGTCTAAGGGATCCCACATCTCTTACTATATTCAAATAACAACACAAGTCCTTCCAAAATTTTCAATTAGGGATTCGTCCTTCTTTTTGCTAGCTTCGTGCTTGGAACCCAAGACCATAAAGCATACATGAGTTTAAATTCTACCGCATTTTGAACGGACCACTTGTCATGATTAATTATAAATATTAATTAGAATCCCTAATTCATACATTCCTTTTCTTTCTTTTCGAATTTTGAATTATTGTGTTGTAGTCATGATTACCTGCAAAACATGTAAACAAAATGTCCAGTATTAGATGTGAAGTATTAGAATTACAAAAAGGTCATATGAAATACCATATTAACAGGTTCACAATTATTTGTGTTGAAAAAGATGAAAGAAAATGAACTTACATAACCAAAATATAACGAAAAGTTTTAAGTTTGATTCTCGTCAAAGGGGAACTTAAATCACATTATTACTAGCATATTATGAGACTTAGCCCAAATCCCCTCTCTACAGATAATATTGCTTGTACACAAGATTTGAGTCTTTCTAATTTAATTTTTGGGTAAATCTCAGTTTATTACCCTCAAATTTTATGGTTTTCAACATTTAGTACATAAAGTTTTTTTCGTCCTGAAGTCATACCTAAAGTGTTAATTTTAGGACGGTCTCATACATCTGTTAGTCTAGCTGTTAAATCTCCCGTTAACTGATGATGTGACGCCCATATTGACAATGACTGGGCATCACGTGTCATTAAGGGATTCATGTGAAAATTAAAAAAAATTAATTAACAAAAACAAAAACATTTTTTTTCCTAGAATCATACCTAAAGTGTTAATTTTGAAACAGTCTCGTACATCTGTTAATTTGGCCGTTAAGTAACTCATTCAAAAAAAAACTTTCTTCTCTTCCTGACCCTCTTCCACTCCCCATCACATCCACCATTTCTTCTTGTTCTTTGGATTCCTCACCTACATTTTCACAAGCACTTCCTCTAACTCAATAAATATGTCCGTTCACATCCACCTTTTCTTCTGTTTTCGCAGCAATGGTTGCAGAGCCTTGGATTTTGAAGATGGGTAACCAGGTAAGCTCTAATCTCAAGCACGCTCTTCTTTCTTCTGCAACGTTTGAAGAAATCATCAGTTTCCAAATCCCAACCCATCGCCAAAACCCAGAAGAAGACCGTCAACATTCTCTACTTCGAGATCGCCAGTGTCATGTCCAAGACCGTCCACCTCCACAAGTCCTTCACCAACTCCGAGATCTGAAGCTCAAAAACGAGATCTTGAAGTTTAGGAAGAAGATTGCAGGAAATGGAGCAGTGGTTCAAACTTTTCTATCCTCTCAAGATCTCACCTGGAATTAGGGGTTAGGGATTTGGGGTTTTGACTTCTAGCGAACTTGACGGTGGTGGGTTTTTTGGTGGTGGGGGAAATCAAGTTGTTGGGTGTGATCTTTATGTTTGTGAAAATGCAGGTGAGGGAATTCAAAGAACAAGGGAAAATAAATAATTGCATAAGAGAGAAATAGGGACGGGGAGAGAGGAAGCAATTATCCCTATTTTTTTCTATTTTTTGAATTTATTAATTTTTTAAGTTTTTAAATTTTGAATTTTGAAATTTTGGTTTTTTTTTTTTTTTTGAATTTTTATTTTTCACGTAGACCTCTTAATGACATATGGTGTTCAGTCATTATTCACATAGGCACCACGTTATCAGTTAACGTGAGACTTAATAGTCAGACTAACAGATGTATGAGATTGTTCTAAAATTAACACTTTGGTAGATTCTGAGACGAAAAAAACTTCATGTACTAAATGTTGAAAACCATGAAACTTGAAGATAGTAAACTGAAATTTATATTTAATTTTTTTATCCATGTGGGTTTCCGCATATATTTGTGTATAAGGATCGAGGTCAGTGATGGCGAGCCGGGCCTTGAACAGGGGAGATATGGGGCGGGGACCCTGAAATATTATTAACTATTGTCTACTATGATATTAGTTTTGTGAACGGTCAAGACGAGATATCAGTAACACATAATGCTTCCAAGGGCTCAATTTTCACAAGGAAAGTGGTTGATGAATCAGGAAATTATCAACGGTTGATGTGGCTTGATCAAGAAAATCAATGGATCAGATTAAGCTACAACCCCTAGTGAGTGGTGTGATAGTTATGGACTGTGCGGTCCGAATAGTAACTGTGATCCGTACATTAATATTAACCTCTCTTGTGTTTGCCCGCCCGGGTTCGAACCCAAGTTCCCAAATAGGCCTTAGCCCGGCTCGCCACCGCGGAGCTCGATCCTTGAATGTAATGCTAGTTATGTTTTCTAGTATGAAGTTCATTGGATTTTTTTTGACTTTGCAGCTCAATTTGCAAATGGTGGTTCTTCTGTTAGAAGGCAAGGATTGCAATTTCACTAGTATCTGCTATTGTGTTCCTCCTAGTAACCATTTTATGTTGGTTGGCAAAGAGGAAGTGAAAAGGTAAACAGATTTGCTATAACAGTATCGATCTATTCATTTAGCATCATCTTTTAACAAATATTCGTTGAGAGTTACCACGGGGTAATTTGAAGAATCTACTGGTAGTGATCATGATGAATGTAAAACAAACGAAGATTTCCTTCGATTGATCCAACAACCATTGCAGCGGCCACGGAAAGTTTTTCTGTTGCAAACAAGCTTGGAAGAGGAGGTTTTGGCTCAGTCTATAAGGTAATTGCCCTTCGATAATTTCTCGAATCATAATCAGATTGTTATGAACAAAAGCCTAAAACAAAAATGAGAAATTTGATAGGTTAAGCGTCTAGTTACGATAGTTCTTGGATCATAATTTCAGGGTGTGTTTTATAATGGAAACAAAGTAGCAGTGAAAAGACTTCGAAGCATTCTGGTCAAGGAATCAAAGAGTTTAGCAATGAAGTCCTGCTGATTGCGAAACTCCAACACAGGTACCTTGTCAAGATTTTGGGTTGCTGCATTCAAGACGAAGAAAAGATGCTAATCTATGAATACGTTCCAAACAAAAGTTTGGACTCTTTCATTTTTGGTACTGTCTTATTTTTTTTATTTTAATTTCTTTACTTGTCACTTGAAACTAAGGAAGCACGAATTCATCATTAACTTTTTACTTTATGATCCAGATGAAGCAAAAATAATGCTTTTAGATTGGGCAAACCGCTTTGATATTATGTACGGGGTTGCAAGAGGGATCCTATATCTTCATCAAGGATTCAAGATTGAGAATCATCCATAGAGACTAAGGGCAAGCAATGTTCTATTGGATGCCGCTATGAATCCCAAAATTGCGGATTTTGGTATGGCTAGGATATTCAGAGGAGACGAAATGAAGCAAATACATATCGTGTCATTGGAACAAAGTACGTTTTCTACAAAACAAAGAGCTTTCTATTCGAAGTTGTAATGTCTACATGTTTATTCTGTGCGGTAACTCTAAGCTTGATAATCACTTTCTTTTCCGCTTCTTTTGCATAGATTATATGTCGCCTGAGTATTCAATGGAAAGACTTTTCAGTAAAATCCGATGTGTATAGCTTTGACGTGCTACTACTTGAAATCATTGCTGACAGTAAAAATTCTGGTTATTACAATGAGAGATATAACAACAACAACAACAACAACAAAGCCTTTTCCCACTAAGGGGTCGGCTATATGAATCCTAGAACGCCATTGCGCTCGGTTTTGTGTTCATGTCCTCCGTTAGATCCAAGTACTCTAAGTCTTTTCTTAGAGTCTCTTCCAAAGTTTTCCTAGGTCTTCCTCTACCCCTTTGGCCCTGAACCTCTGTCCCGTAGTCACATCTTCGAACCGGAGTGTCAGTCGGCCTTCTTTGCACATGTCCAAATCATCGGAGCCGATTTTCTCTCATCTTTCCTACAATTTCGGCTACTCCTACTTTACCTCGGATATCCTCATTCCCAATCTTATCCTTTCTCGTGTGCCCACACATCCCACGAAGCATCCTCATCTCCGCAACACCCATTTTGTGTACGTGTTGATGCTTCACCGCCCAACATTCTGTGCCATACAACATCGCTGGCCTTATTGCCGTCCTATAAAATTTTCCCTTGAGCTTCAATGGCCTACGACGGTCACACAACACGCCGGATGCACTCTTACACTTCATCCATCCAGCTCGTATTCTATGGTTGAGATCTCCATCTAATTCTCCGTTCTCTTGCAAGATAGATCCTAGGTAGCGAAAACGGTCACTTTTTGTGATCTTCGCTAGATTGCTCCGGTCATTAGTGTGGATAAGTATATAAATGGATAGAGATAGGAAAACAAACACAAGATGTACGTGGTTCACCCAGATTGGCTACGTCCACGGAATATAAGAGTTCTCATTAATTGTGAAGGGTTTACACAAGTACATAGGTTCAAGCTCTCCTTTAGTGAGTACAAGTGAATGATTTAGTACAAATGACATTAGGAAATATTGTGGGAGAATGATCTCGTAATCACGAAACTTCTAAGTATCGAAGTGTGGTGTCGTCTTGACTTGCCTTATCTGTCTCATAGGTAGATGTGGCATCTTCTCTGGAAGTACTCTTCCTCCATCCAGGGGTGGTATCTTTAACTGGTGGAGATGCACAAGGTAATGTATCAATTTCACTTGAAGCTTACTTGTAGTCTCAGGCTTGGTCAAGCGCGATACAAACCATGTAGTAGGAGTCCCCCAAGTCGCCGAGCTAGGGGGTCTGCTGAAAGAGGTGACAGACAAGGTAAGCAATCAGAGCTCCGACTGATTGTTCACCTTCTCCCCATCTTGCAGCAGCATGAAGGATAAAGAGAAGAAAAATGAGAAGAGATGATATGAGATATACTTTGCTTTTGAAGAAGTAACTTTCCACAGGCTTATTCTTGAACTGAGCTGGAGGGTTTTCTGGTTTCCTCCAGAGTATAAGGCCGACTGAAGAATTTGAGGGTCAAAACAAGTCCATCAAATCTAGAGTACGTTCCACCCTGCTGATATGGGATACTTTTGCTTTTGACAGAGTAATGGATGTATCGGCACGTGTGCTGTTACGCTTGTCTCCACATGCTTCCTTGTATCCTTCGCACTTGCCCTATCTGTTCCTCAAGCAGATGCGGAATCTTCCCTGGAAACATAAGATGTTGAAGATGAGTACTCGAGAGCAATGCCAGGTAAGTAATCAGGTAAGGGGTTCCAGGCAGTCAGTTCCTGGCTGGAAGCTTGATTCCAAGTGCTGACTGATTGCTCTCTTTCTCCTTGTCTTGCAGGTAAAAACAAGGCCAAAGGAAAAGACAGGGAAAAAGCATGATATGGGATACTCTTGCTTTTTAACTCTGATGATATGAGATATTCTTGCTCTAGTATAGCTTGTTTGCAGAGGTATTATCGGGGGGAAAGAAAGCTGAATATTTCGAAAGGCTTCGTTGGGAGTGCCCTCTCAGATATGATGAAGGGTTGAGCATTTTTGTAGGTCTGCCTGTCCGTTGGGGATGGAGGTCGACATATATAGGAGTCTCCCTAACAACAAGTAGTAATGCTATTCCTTTACCCTGCTTGGTCATAGCACGGTAGTGGGAGCTGCCAGTTTCACATGTTTTAACTCTGTCAGAGCACTTTGAAAAAGTGGTCTGTGGTATCTGGCTCTCGAGATTCGGAGAACGATGCCTCTTCGATTTTTGAGAAAACAATCATGCTGTAGGTCTGGCTCTCGAGATTCGGAGAGCAGTGTCTCTTCGATTTTTGAGGAAGTAATCATGTTGGGAGTCTGGCTCTCGAGATTCGGAGGGCGGTGCCTCTTCGATTTTGGAGCAAGCAATCCTGTTGGGAGTGTTGTCTCGAATGTGAGTAAAGGTTGGGCATGTTTGCTAGTCTACCTTGCCACGAAGCACAAAGGTTGACACACAGGGACTTTCCAATTATCCAGCAATGGTATTGTTCCTTTACCCTCTCTTCGCTTTTGAGAAAGTAGTCATGTTGGGAGTTTGGCTCTCGAGATTCGGAGGACGGTGCCTCTTCGATTTTGGAGCAAGCAATCTTGTTGGGAGTGTTTTCTCAAAAGTGAGTAAAGGTTGGGCATGTTTGCTAGTCTACCTTGCCACGAAGCACAGAGGTTGACACACAGGGACTTTCCAATTATCCAGCAGTGGTACTGTTCCTTTACCCTTGTGGGTAATAATATGGTAGCTAGACCTTCAAAATTTATGTGTCTAAACTTTGTTAGTGCTGTTTCTTTGCTATTCTTTTACCTTTCTTGGTCAGAGCGATGTAGTGGGAGCTGCAAGCTTCACGTGCTCAACTTTGGCAGAGAACTTTGGCAAAGTTATCTGTGGTACCCATGAGCTATTGTTGCGTGTGGGAAGTGGGTGATTGAACAGTAAGATTCATGTGCTTTCTACTTCACCAGAAGTCTTCGACAGAATGCCCATAATTTCTGCAAAGCTGAGTGTGCGTGTGACAGGTGCTGACAAGGCTAGAAAAGTAGGTGTCTCTTCGATTTCTGAGATCGGCCCTCGTGGTCTCTGAGCAGCCCAGCTTTTGAGAAAGCGAGCGCCTCTTCGATTGATTCGGAGAACGATGCCTCATCGATTTTTGAGAAAGCAATCATGCTGGGGGTCTGGCTCTCGAAGATTCGGGGAGCAGTGTCTCTTCGATTTTTGAGAAAGTAATCACGTTGGGAGTCTGGCTCTCGAGATTCGGAGGGCGGTGCCTCTTCGATTTTGGAGCAAGCAATCTTGTTGGGAGTGTTTTTCTCGAATGTGAGTAAAGGTTGGGCATGTTTGCTAGTCTACCTTGCCACGAAGCACAGAGGTTGACACACAGGAACTTTCCAATTATCCAGCAATGGTACTGTTCCTTTTACCCTCTCTTCGATTTTTTAAGAAAGTAGTCATGTTGGGAGTCTGGCTCTCGAGATTCGGAGGACGGTGCCTCTTCGATTTTGGAGCAAGCAATCTTATTGGGAGTGTTTTCTCGAATGTGAGTAAAGGTTGGGCATGTTTGTTAGTCTACCTTGCCACGAAGCACAAAGGTTGACACACAGGGACTTTCCAATTATCCAGCAGTGGTACTGTTCCTTTACCCTTGTGGGTAATAATATGGTAGCTAGACCTTCAAAATTTATGGGTCTAAACTTTGTTAGTGCTGTTTCTTTGCTATTCTTTTACCCTTCTTGGTCAGAGCGATGTAGTGGGAGCTGCAAGCTTCACGTGCTCAACTTTGGCAGAGAACTTTGGCAAAGTTATCTGTGGTACCCATGAGCTATTGTTGCGTGTGGAAAGTGGGTGATTGAACAGTAAGATTCATGTGTTTTCTACTTCCCCAGAAGTCTTCGACAGAATGCCCATAATTTCCGCAAAGCTGAGTGTGCGTGTGACGGGTGCTGACAAGGCTGGAAAAGTAGGTGCCTCTTTGATTTCTGAGATCGGCCCTCGTGGTCTCTGGGGAGCCCAGCCTTTGAGAAAGCGAGCGCCTCTTCGATTTCTGAGATCGGCCTTCGTGGTCTTTGAGCAGCCCAACTTTTGAGAAAGCAAACGCCTCTTCGATTTCTGAGCAGGCGCCTCTTCGATTTCTGAAGCTCCGTCTCCGTCGAGTGCAGATTTTTATAGAGGCTGGCATTAAGTTCCAAAGCACACTTGAATCTCCACCAGTAGAAGCTTCATTCTTGCACTTCTAAGATCTTGATTTGTCCGACCTCTTCTCTCTTCAACACCTTTGAAAATGTCTGGCCCCTCCGACCGTCGTTTTGACTTGAACCTTGTTGAAGAGGCAGCCCCGCCTTCTCCAGACAACATATGGCGCCCATCCTTCGTCTCCCCTACTGGCCTTACCGTTGGGGGATTCCGTGATAATGAACCGCTGGCGGTGGTGGCCACTCCCAAAGATAACAGACTACTTTCCAAACGGTCTGATGAGTTAGCTAAGGATTCGCTGGCTCTCAGTGTTCAGTGTGCAGGTTATGTGTCTAATATGGCCCAACGCCTATTATTTGCTCGAACCCCGCCAAGTTGAATCATTGGCGGCTGAAGTGATGAGTCTCAAACAGGAGATTAGAGGGCTCAAGCATGAGAATAACAGTTGCACCGGCTCGCACATGACTATGCTACAAACATGAAGAGGAAGCTTGACCAGATGAAGGAAACTGATGGTCAGGTTTTACTTGATCATCAGAGATTTGTGTGGGTTTGTTCCAAAGGCATTTATTGCCTTTCGTCTTGGGGCTGGGTTACCGGGTAATGAAGCTCCGTAATGAAGCTCCGAATGATCAACCTCTGATGCCTCCTCCTTCTAGGGTTCTGTCCAGTATTGAGGCTCCAAATGATCCCCCTCTGGTGCCTTCTCTGTCTGGGGCTCTACCGACTGCTGAGACTTCTCTAAGCAACCTTTGTGAAGGCTCCGTCTTGTGTGTTTATTTTGACTCATGTATATGTACATATTTGTAGGGCTGATCGGGATATCAATAAATAAGCTTTCCTTCATTTCAACGTATTGTGTTAAACACAAAAAGCCTTCTTGCTAAGTTCTTTGAAGCTTTCTGAGTGGAGCATGTATGTAGTGTTCCCTTTCTTCCCGAGGAAGGAAAACTTCTCTTTGAAAATCCAAGTCACGATCGGCTATATGCTATTGTGCTCGCCTGTGTCATGAGTCCTTCGTAGAGCTAAGTCTTTCTTAGAGTCCTCTTCCAAAGTTTTCCTGGAGGTCTTCCTCTACCCCTTCGGCCCTGAACCTCTGTCCCATATGCATCTTCTAATCAGTCCATTCTTTGCACATCGTAACCGTGTTCCATGTCCTTCTTCAAATTTCGGCTACTCCTAACTTTTCCGGATATCTCATTCCTAATCTTATCCTTTCTCGTGTGCCCACACCCAACGAAGCATCCATCTCCGCTACACCATTCTGTGTGCAATTTCACGCCCAACATTCCTGTGCCTTCTACAGCATCGGTAAAGCCGTCATCTCATCCATTTTTCCCTTGAGCTTCCAATTAACCACAACACGCCGGATGCACTCTTCCACTTCATCCATCCAGCATTTGTACCAGCTATGGTTGAGATCTCCATCTAATTCTCCGTTCTTTTGCAAGATAGATCCTAGGTAACGAAAACGGTCGCTCTTTGGTATTTCTTGATCTCCGATCCTCACCCCTAACTCGTTTTGGCCTCCATTTGCACTGAACTTGCACTCCATATATTCTGTCTTTGATCGGCTTAGGCGAAGACCTTTAGATTCCAACACTTCTCTCCAAAGGTTAAGCTTTGCATTTACCCCTTCCTGAGTTTCATCTATCAACACTATATCGTCTGCGAAAAGCATACACCAAGGAATATCATCTTGAATATGTCCTGTTAACTCATCCATTACCAACGCAAAAAGGTAAGGACTTAAGGATGAGCCTTGATGTAATCCTACAGTTATGGGAAAGCTTTCGGTTTGTCCTTCATGAGTTCTTACGGCAGTCTTTGCTCCTTCATACATATCCTGACATAAATTTGGTTGGACATGTAAGTTGGCTAGCGTATTTGCAAAGAATGATCACAAACTTAGTCTCTAATTAATTCATGCTAACTTGACTATATATATATTTATGTAAATTCTTTTAGGTACGGAACTGGTGGAGAGAAGGCGATGCCCTGGAAATCATTGATTCATCTCTGGGTGAATCGTACCCTGTCAATAAATTGTGAGATGCATCCAAACCGCCCTCTTGTGTATGCACGAATATGCCACTGACCGGCCAACATTGTCCGCGGACGTTTTCATGCTAGGCAACGAGCTAGGTAGCAGTTCCTTCCCCAAAACAGCTGCAATTTTATTGAGGATGAGTCGTACTACTGGAGCTAATTCTATAAATGATGTCACATGTACAGACGTCGAAGGTCGTTAAGCATCATAAATAGAAGCTCTAAAGTTGTGTTAAACTAGCAAGTAATTAATGTATAAAACTATTTTAACACTATCTATTTTAACAAACTTTGAATGTTTTAATATTAACAATTCAAACACAACCCACTTATTTTTTAAACCCGTCTTCTTTCTCTTCCTTTTCTCCTTGATCATGGATCCACCTTTGTGTTTTATTTTATTTTTAATATTTAGTTGATGAACATTTGTTATAGAGACATTTTATAGTCTATTGGAGATATTACTTTTTAAATTTAGCAGCATCTTTTGGAGGAGAAATTTTTCAGCTTGCCGAGAACACGGTTCCGTACCCAAGTGTCATAATATGGGTGGTTGACTAAATGAAAAGAAAAACTTTCAACTACTTGTATTACAACATTTTGTGTATTGAACCCTGAACCCGATACACTAAAACATCTGTTATCTTTGAGAAGCATGTGGCCTAGGATTTAGAGTTTAGGAATGCACTTTACGCTACAACAACACATACTAGCTAGCGTGGCAGCTTGCAAAACATCATATATTAATCGCATTGTTATTGTGTGAAGAAAGGATGATCAAATTTTACTTAAACATGCGTTTTAAAATGAAAGTAAAATGAAGCTTATCAATGGTAGAACTCATAAAATATATAAAAATAAAAATAAAAATAAATAAACTTAACCCATTTTTTTCCCGATAACTATGAAGCATAGTTGCAGCCGCCGACAGTTTCTTTATCAATTGAAGTGTGGAGGAAGTTAGAATTATTGGTTTCAAAATATACAAACCGTCATCACCATTTGATCAAACTGCTGCAGAAAAAGAGTTGGAACAGTCTCAAATGCGTTATGTGGGAAGGTTTCAACTGCCAAGGTTTCCAATGAGATACTGCCAAAATGGTGGCCCATTTTTTAAGATACATCATCTAATCTCACCCTTTTTATGTTCATATGCCACGATTGACGTTTTCATAAATCTGCACAAATAAAACTGATTAATAAAAATAAAAATAAAAATACTAAATAGATAATAAGCGGTATTTATGTTACACAGTCTGCTGCACTTTTGTTGTTTATTTCGTGTCCTTGTAATTCTTACTTCGATCAAAAGTTCATCATAGGTCTATATGCGTAAGGTTGTGTTATTTACACATCTTTTTAACTTCTCATGCGCCTCTTTCATTTTCTGACCATCGGATCGAATGAACTGCAGAAGATCAAAGAACAGAAATTAACAAATGATGTTTAAGAGGTAAAAAAAAAAAAGTATATAAATAGCATGACATAACCCCAATTGAAATAAGTAGCGGTGTAGAACTTTGTCAATTTTAAAGTTGGATCTCGTTTTGTATTTCAGATGATCCTACACGTTCACGCGTCCTCCGTTACCTTTAAAAATTGCATTTTGCAACTCTTTTTTACAACTCTCCAGAGGAACAAGAAAACTCCATCCAGTTAGTACACGCCAGTTAAGATTATGGTTGAGATGTTTCTTTCAGGGTATCTTTTTACAACTACTCCCAGGGTGGACCTAAATCTGATCGAGTCCAGCTTGTAGCATTTAAAATCTCAGCAACCCCAAAAGCATATCAATTTCATCTTATTATACCAAATTATTGCACTTCAAGTCCTCATTGAATTTTTATTTTTTTTTTTAAATCAAACCATGAACTCTACTAAATGGGTTGCGCAGATGAAAAATATATTGCTTATCTTCCAGCTATTTGTTCTTCCCTCTTGCATTTTTTCCTTTGACACCATCACCCTAAACAAACCCATCAAAGACGGGGACGTTTTAACCTCCAGCAAGAAATTCTTCGCACTAGGGTTCTTCAGCCCCGGCAACTCTCGGAACCGCTATGTTGGAATTTGGTACAACAAAGTTCCGGAGCAAACCATCGTTTGGGTTGCAAATAGAAACAACCCTGTCACTAATACCTCTGGACTCCTAGCAGTGATTAGTCATGGAGGCCTTGTGATCTATGGGAATGAGAAAAGTACCCCTCTCTGGTCTGCTAATGTCACCGCCTCTTCTCCAAACAATTCCGTGATAGCCAAGCTTTTGGATACGGGAAATCTTGTTGTGGTTGAAAATAATGGTAAGGTGCTTTGGCAAGGTTTTGATTATCCCTCGAATACACTGCTTCCTTCTATGAAAATTGGATTGGACCGACGGTCTGGGTTGAACCGGTTCCTCACATCTTGGAAGTCCCAAGATGATCCGGGAATCGGAAACTGTTCGTACCGGATAGAGCCAAGTGAAAGTCCGCAGCTGTTCTTATACAAGGGTCAGACTCCATTTTGGCGGGGCGGATCTTGGACCGGTGAGAGATGGTCCGGGGTGCCGGTGATGACAAAAAATTTCATCTTCAATGTTACTTTTGTGAACAATGAAGATGAGGTATCCGTCATGTATAGTATTGTTGATGAATCAATCTTCTCAAAAATGGTGATCGATGAATCAGGAATTGTTGAACGGTCCACGTGGCACGATCAAGTGCGTCAATGGGTCAAGTTTTGGTCCGCCCCGGTAGAGCAGTGTGATTTTTACGGAAAGTGTGGTCCGAACAGCAATTGTGACCCATATATTGCGGATGAGTTTGAGTGCAATTGCCTACCTGGATTCGAACCCAAGTTGCAACATGAGTGGTATTTGAGAGACGGTTCGGGCGGGTGCGTGAGGCGAAACGGATCTTCTGTTTGCCAAAACGGGGAAGGGTTCGTGAAGTTGGAACGTGTGAAGGTGCCGTACTCGTCTGCGACACGTGTGAACATGAGTATGAGTCTGAAAGCATGTCAAGAAGAATGCCTGAGAAATTGTTCTTGCATGGCATACGCAAATGCTGATGAAAGGCAGGGAGGGAATGGGTGTGTACATTGGCATGGGGACATGATGGACACAAGGACTTATTCGGATACGGGCCAAGATTTATATGTGCGAGTTGATGCAATTGTTTTAGGTATATTTCCCTTATCAATTTGTTGTCTTTCTTTTCTTTTCGTTATCAATAAATCCTCTCATATCGTAGAAGTTTCATAAAAAAAATATTCATTCTTTTATTTCAGTAAAAAAATTATTTAGATTGGGAGCCGTACTTTTGTTAACATTCTAAAATATCATTTGGCACTCATCTCTTGCCGAATAATAAAAGTGAATTGTTCCATCAAGAGTGCACAATGAATTTTTTTTAAATACTAATTTTTCTATAAAAAAAATTGGAATTTTCAATAAACACTAAAATTGAGTTCTTATGTTCTTTGGAGCTTTTTAGAATGTTTTTTAAATATGAAAAAAAATGCTTGTATCTCTGCAGCTCAATATGCAAAGAAGTCAAATGGTTCTTTTGGCAAGAAGAGGAAGCTGGAAGTTTCACTAATAAGTGGTCTAGTGTTCCTTCTCTTGCTTTCCCTTGCATGTTGGTTGGTGATGAGGAAGAGAAAAGGTAAACAAATTTCCTTTTACTAGGTTGCCCTCTTGTCATCATAATTATTTGATAAGTCAGTAGGTAAATTAGATATTGTATTAGTTCTAATAATTTAAGAACTCACCATTATCTGTTTATGTACTTTTTTCACAGGTAGGAGAAGTCAGGATAAGTTTCCATTCAATGTGACCGCAACACCATCCTACTGGGAAGATTCTCCTGCTAGAACAGATATTGATGAAAGCAGAATAAATTCAGACTTACCATTCTTTGAACTAAGTACCATAGCTAAAGCCACAAACAATTTCTCTTTCAACAACAAGCTTGGAACAGGCGGTTTTGGCTCCGTTTATAAGGTAAGTAGTTGCCCTCAGATAATGTCTCAAATAGTATATCAGACTTTGGATGGACATTTTGAGATTCATTTTTTAGCCATTTGCACTTCAAACCAATTATGATTATTTTTTAAATTGTGCACTCGACGTTGGAGTGCATGAAAACAACATATCAAGAACTCCATGCCAATAAAGACTAAGAAGGTTGACTCCATAATAAATTCCATTAGGGCCTCTGTTGTAAAATCCATACCTAATCATTAATCGAGAAGTGATGGGAATTGTATTGTTAATTTCTACTTTTCACAATCATTTTAGATACAATTTTTAAATATTGGGATCTTTCTTTATTATAATCGTGTATCTTCTTCACTTGGAATACACTAGCCAAAACATGTTTATGTACATGCATTGAGTTTTACTCTTTTGTCAAAGTATAAATGCAATTTCAAGGGGATGATATATATAGAGCTAGGAATATGTTGATAACTTTCTTTGAAGAAAAGTGCATTATAAGTTGAATAATTTGGATTATAATTTCAGGGTGTGCTATATAATGGAAATGAGATAGCAGTGAAAAGACTAGCCAAGAATTCTGGCCAAGGAATTGGAGAGTTCAAGAATGAAGTGCTGCTAATTTCAAAGCTCCAACACAGGAACCTTGTGAGGATTATAGGTTGTTGCGTTCAAGATGAAGAGAAGATGCTGATCTACGAATACTTGCCAAATGGAAGTCTTGACTTTTTCATTTTTGGTATGTCTTCTTTTTACTTTTGTATCTTCATTTTATACAAGAGATATTAGGGGAGAGAGAATCGAACTGTGCATGACTGAATTTTCTTAAAGGTCGTACCCAGTGCACAAGCCTCCCGCTTTACGCAGGGTTTGGGAGAGGTGAATGTCGGCTAGCCTTAACCCCATTTATGGAGAGGCTGCTCCCAAGTCTCAAACCCGAGACCTACCGCTCATGGGCGAAGGCACTTGCCATCGCACCAAGTGCGACCTCTGCATGACTGAATTTTCTTAACCAAATAAATTACAAGCCCTTTGCTGTTTACCTGTGTTTCTAAAACTGTCGGTGAAAACCTTTAACCAAGCAAGAATACAATCTAATTTACTTTGCTTACCTTTCTAGATGAAGCAAAACGGGCGTTTTTGGATTGGACAATACGCTTTGAGATAATTTGTGGGATTGCTAGAGGGATCTTATATCTTCATCAGGATTCAAGATTAAAAATCATTCATAGAGATTTAAAAGCCAGCAATGTTCTGTTGGATTCTGCTATGAATCCCAAGATTTCTGATTTTGGTATGGCTAGGATATTTGGTGCTGAACAAATTGAAGCAAATACAAACCGTGTGGTTGGGACATAGTAAGTTTCCTTCAAAAACTGAAAGTATAACTATTTTTTACAATTTCATTCCTCTGTCACAAGGCCACAAACTTGAGTACAACTTTTGTTGATTAGTACATCAAGAAGATGTGATAATTAATCACTATTCTTTGTTGCTTTAGTGGTTATATGTCACCAGAGTATGCAATGGAAGGACTTTTTTCAGTAAAGTCTGATGTGTATAGCTTCGGCGTTTTACTGCTAGAAATTGTTAGCGGCAGAAAGAACACCGGTTACTACCATGATAATCCTGACTCAAACTTAGTTGGACATGTAAGCATAACATTAAGATGTTACCAAACTTCCCTCCTTCTGTTTCTATAACTTGATGACTAATTTGTAAATGGTTTTCAGGTTTGGGACTTGTGGAAGGAAAGTAGTGCGTTGGAAATTATTGATTCGTCTCTGGGAGAATCATACCCTGTCAGTGAAGTTCTAAGATGCATTCAAATTGCACTCTTGTGCGTGCAAGAACATGCGACAGATCGTCCACTCATGTCAGCAGTGGTTTTCATGTTGGGTAATGATGCAGCACTTCCTTCACCAAGGCAACCTGGATTTTTGTTGAAGAGAACCTATCATGCTAGTGGAGATCCATCAGCCAGTACTGAAGGAGCTTACTCTATAAACGATGTGACCTGTACAGAAGTAGAAGCTCGCTAAGGGGAGAATCAGACGTATAATCGGAAGACTATACCATTCAATTGAAAGTATGATCACGTGATGAGTGACATTAAAAAAGAGGATATACAAATTATAACTATAAATCTAAGTTCTATATTTACAACACTCATCATCTATCTTGTTATAAATAAAAACTATAAATGATGTGATTTGTAGTAAGTTGATGCTCTAGGCTCTTCAATTTGAAAAGTCACAACTCATGAAGAGTATTCATCGAAATAAAATAACTAGTTCTCAAAACGTTCTAAATTTTTGACAAAAGAATTCCAAAAAAAAAATCACATGTTATACTTTCTTTGAGAAGCTAAGATATGCAATGTAACGTGCAAGTTATCCTTGTTCAAAACCTAGCTAGCTAATATTTTAATTGAACATCTTTGAGCATCATCACCGCATGATATATCATTAAATGAATTTAATTTTTAAGATTCATAAATAATGTAATTAAATCAAGCTCATCTAATTACAATAACGAAGCGGTACCTAAACATGTGGTGAGCAAATCTTCACTCGTCTCTCTCTCTCTCTCTCTCTCTCTCTCTCTCTCTCTCATGGTCTCTTAGTGGACTGGGAAGTTAAGCTTTGAACGTAGCATTTAAAACCTCAGCTACCTCCACCACGTCAAATCTCAGTCATTTAGTTATTTCTCAAATATTGAACTCACAAAAACTCCTCAGAAAGCACATATGGACTCTACGAAATGTGTGATTATCCATGTATTGCTTATCTTCCAAATCCTTGCTGAATCAAAGACGGCGACGTTTTACTCTCCAGCAAGAAGATCTTCGCCCTAGGGTTCTTCAGCCCGGGCAGTTCTCCGAACCGGTATGTTAGAGTCGGGTACAACAAAGTCCCAGGGAAAACCGTCGGGTGGGTTGCCAAGTGCCAACAGAGACATCCCTATCACTGGGACTGGACAAGTCATGGCGGTTAGTGGAGAGCATGGAGGCCTTGTTATTTATGATAAGGACCAAAATACCCGTATCTGGTCTGCTAACGTTACCATCTCTTCTCCCAATAGTTCCATCACAGCCAAGCTTTTGGATACGGGAAATCTTCTTGTGCTTGAAAACAATGGCAGTAGTAGCGAAACGTTGCTGTGGCAGGGCTTTGGTTATCCCACAAATACTATGCTTCCGTTTATGAAACTTGGGTTGAACCGGCGGTCCGGAAAGTTTCGGTTCCTGACATCTTGGAAATCTGAAGATGACCCGGGAATTGGGAGTTGTTCATATCGGATTGACCCAGGCGGTTTTCCTCAAATGTTTTTACAAGGGTCAAACTCCGTGGTGGCGCTGGAACTTGGACCAGTGAGAGATGGGCCGGTTTGCACCAAATGACAAGTGATTTCACCTTCAATGCTAGTTTTGTGAACAGCGAAGATGAGTTATCCGATGTGTTTGGCTAACTAAAGGATGAATCAATCTACTTTGCAAGAATGGTGATTGATGAATCAGGAACCATCGAAGGGTCCATGTGGCACGATCAAGCGCGTCGAAGGGACAAGTTTTGGTCCGCCCCGGTTGAGCTGTGTGATTTCTATGGGAAGTGCGGTCCAAACAGCAACTGCGACCCGACCAATGCCCATGAGTTGAGTGCACGTGCCTACCCGGGTTCGAACCCAAGTTGCAAAATGAATGGAACTTGAGAGATGGGTCGGGAGGGTGTGTAAGGAGAAAAGGACTGTCCGTTTGCCAAAATGGGCAACGGTTTGTCAAGGTGGCACGTGTAAACAGGCCGGTCCTGAGATTTTGAGAGTCATATGTGAGACTTTAACAGAGACCCTTAAATTGTATAGAATTTTCGTTGCTATGTTTTCTTTTACATTTTAATTTTTATGATTATGTATGAATTGAGATAGATATATATATATATAATAAAATAAAACAAACAAATTTAGATGTGGTGGACCGGTGGTTAGGTACTTATTTGCGTCCCTATGTTTTTGAGTTCGAAACTCTTTATTTAAAAAAAAAAAAACCTTAAAAGGTCTAACATTATAGTTGCTAAAAAAAACCACCATGCTTTTAAATACCAAAAACAAAAAATTAAAATAAAATATTAAACCATGCTTTTAGATACCAAAACAATTAAAAATAAAACACACAAAAAATACACCAATGGGAAGACTCGAACCCAGTTCGTAGATCAAAGATAATATGCTCAAGACAATTGCACTAAGAGAACAATTTAGCATATCATTGCATGTTTAAATTTATATATGAAAAATATAGGTAAAGTAAAATCGTAAATCAGGGCCCTTCCGAATTTGAGGGCTCTATGCGATGGCACCACTTGCACGCCCTCAAGGCCGGCACTGCGTGTAAAGGTGCCGAATGCTTCTACGGCACGTGTGAACATGAGTATGAGCTTGAAAGAGTGTTAAGAAGAGTGTTTGAGGAATTGTTCTTGCATGGCATATTCGAATGCAGATTGATAGGTGGGGAGGGAGGGAGTGCGCGACATGGCATGGGGATTTGAAGGACACAAGGACTTATTTGGATGCAAACCAAGAACTATATGTGCGAGTTGATACAGTTGTTATAGGTCATGTTTTTCCTTATTAGTTTACCTTCTTTCTTTTGTTTCTGCCAAATATGCGAGGAATTGAAAATTGATTAAGATTAGTTCAATTATTTAAATTACACGTAGATGAAACCCGATAGAAATGGGTGTAGCGGAGATGAGGATGCTTCGTTGGATGTGTGGGCACACGAGAAATGATAAGATTAGGAATGAGGATATCCGGGGTAAAGTAGGAGTAGCCGAAATTGAAGGAAAGATGAGAGAAAATCGGTTACGGTGGTTTGGACATGTGCAAAGAAGGCCTACTGACGCTCCGATTAGAAGATGCGACTATGGGACAGAGGTTCAGGGCTGAAGGGGTAGAGGAAGACTTAAGAAAACTTTGGAAGAGACCCTAAGAAAAGACTTAGAGTACTTGGATCTAACGGAGGACATGACACAGGACAGAACACAATGGCGTTCTAAGATTCATATAGCCGATCCCACTCAGTGACTTGGATTTTCCAAGTCTCCAACCGAGAAGTTTTTCCTCACTCGGGAAATTAAGGGAACACACCTACCTCAACCTACATGCCTCCACTCACAAAGCTTCAACATATACAAGCTTCAACAAAAAGAAAATTCAAAGAACTTAGCGAAGAAGGCTTTAGTGTATTTAACACAATACGTTGAAATGAATGAAAGCTTATTTATTGATATCCCCGATAAGTTACAAATATGTACATATACTTGAGTCAAAATAAACAAACAAGAGGGAACCTTCACAAAGGTTGCTTAGGAGAAGTCTCAGCAGTCTGTAGAGCCCCAGAAAGAGAATGCACCGGAGGGGGATCATTCGGAGCCTCAGTACTGGACATAACCCTAGAAGGAGGAGGCATCAGAGGTTGATCATTTGGAGCTTCATTACGCGGTACAGCCCCAGAAGACGAAGGCAATAAATGCCTTTGGAACAAACCCACAAATCTCTGATGATCAAGTAAAACCTGACCATCAGATTCCTTCATCTGGTCAAGCTTCCTCTTCATGTTTGTAGCATAGTCATGTGCAAGCCGGTGCAACTGTTTATTCTCATGCTTGAGCCCTCTAATCTCCTATTTGAGACTCATCACTTCAGCCGCCAATGATTCAACTTGGCGGGTTCGAGCAAATAGGCGTTGGGCCATATTAGACACAGAACCTGCACACTGAACACTAAGAGCCAGAGAATCCTTAACAGCCAACTCATCAGACCGTTTGGAAAGTAGTCTGTTATCTTTGGGAGTGAGAAGGTTCCTGGCCACTACCGCAGCGGTCATATCATTCTTCATCACGGAATCCCCAACGGTAAGAGGACCAGTAGGGGAGACGAAGGATGGGCGCCATATGTTGTCTGGAGAAGGCGGGGCTGCCTCTTCAACAAGGTTCAAGTCAAAACGACGGTCGGAGTGGCCATACATTTTCAAAGGTGTTAAAGAGACAAAAGGTCGGACAAATCAAGATCTTGGAGTGCAAGAATGGAGCTTCTACTGGTGGATATTCAAGTGTGCTTTGGAACTTAATGTCAGCCCCTATAAAAATATGCACTCGACGAAGCTTCAGAAATCGAAGAGGCGCCTGTTCAGAAATCGAAGAGGCGTTTGCTTTCTCAAAAGCTGGGCTGCTCAGAGACCACCAGGGTCGATCTCTAAAATCGAAGAGGCGTTTGCTTTCTCAAAAGCTGGGCTGCTCAAAGACCACGAAGGCCGATCTCAGAAATCGAAGAGGTTTGCTTTCTCAAAATCTGGGCTGCTCAGAGACCACGAGGGCCGATCTCAGAAATCGAAGAGGCACCTACTTTTCTAGCCTTGTCAGCACCTGTCACACGCATACTCAGCTTTACGGAAATTATGGGCATTCTGTCGAAGATTTCTGGCGAAGTAGAAAGCACATGAATCGTACTGTTCAATCACCCACTTCCCACACGCAACAGTAGCTCATGGGTACCACATATAACTTTGCCAAAGTTCTCTGACAAAGTTGTGACACGTGAAACTTGCAGCTCCCACTACATCGCTCTGACCAAGAAGGGTAAAAGAATAGCAAAGAAACAACACTAACAAAGTTTAGACACATAAATTTTGAAGGTCTAGCTACCATATTATTACCCACAAGGGTAAAGGAACAGTACCACTACTGGATAATTGGAAAGTCCCGGTGTGTCAACCTCTGTACTTCGTGGCAAGGTAGACTAGCAAACATGCCCAACCTTTACTCACATTCGAGAAAACACTCCCAACAAGATTGCTTGCTGCAAAATCGAAGAGGCACCGCCCTCCGAATCTCGAGAGCCAAACTCCCAACACGATTATTTTCTCAAAAATCGAAGAGAGGGTAAAGGAACAGTACCACTGCTGGATAATTGGAAAGTCCCTGTGTATCAACCTCTGTGCTTCGTGGCAAGGTAGACTAGCAAACATGCCCAACCTTTACTCACATTCAAGAAAACACTCCCAACAAGATTGCTTGCTCCAAAATCGAAGAGGCACCGCCTCCGAATCTCGAAAGTCAGACTCCTAACATGATTACTTTCTCAAAAATCGAAGAGAGGGTAAAGGAACAGTACCACTGCTAGATAATTGGAAAGTCCCTGTGTGTCAACCTCTGTGCTTCGTGGCAAGGTAGACTAGCAACACATGCCCAACCTTTACTCACATTCGAGAAAACACTCCCAACAAGATTGCTTGCTCCAAAATCGAAAAGGCACCGCCCTCCGAATCTCGAGCGCCAGACTCCCAACATGATTACTTTCTTAAAAATTGAAGACATCGCTCTCCGAATCTCGAGAGCCAGACCCCCAGCAGGATTGCTTTCTAAAAAATCGAAGAGGCATCGTTCTCCGAATCTCGAGAGCCGGATCCCCGACAGGATTGCTTGTTCGAAAACCGAAGAGGCACCACTTTCCCAACTTCAAGAGCTGTAATCTTCACACGCAACATCAGCTTTCCAGATACCACAGACCACTTTTTCAAAGTGCTCTGACAGAGTTAAAACTTGTGAAGCTGGCAGCTCCCACTACCGTGCTATGACCAAGCAGGGTAAAGGAATAGCATTATTACTTGATGTTAGGGAGACTCCTATATATGTCGACCTCCATCCCCAACGGACAGGCAGACCTGCAAAAATGCTCAACCCTTCCTCTTATCTGAGAGGGCACTCCCAACGAAGCCTTTCGAAATATTCAGCTTTCTTTCCCCCCGATAATACCTCTGTAAACAAGCTATACTAGGGCAAGAATATCTCATATCATCAGGGTTAAAAGCAAGAGTATCCCATATCATGCTTTTCCCCGTCTTTTCCTTTGGCCTTGTTCTTACCTGCAAGACAAGGAGAAAGAGAGCAATCAGTCAGCACTTGGAATCAAGCTTCCAGCCAGGAACTGACTGCTTGGAACCCCTTACCTGATTACTTACCTGGCATTGCTCTCGAGTACTCATCTTCAACATCTTATGCTTCCAGGGAAGATACTGCATCTGCCTGAGGAACAGATAGGGCAAGTGAGAAGGATACAAGGAAGCATGTGGAGACAAGCGTAACAGCACACGTGCCGATACATCCACTACTCTGTCAAAAACAAAAGTATCCCATATCAGCAGGGTCGAACGTACTCTAGATTTAATGGACTTGTTTTGACCCTCAAATTCTTCAGTCGACCTTATACTTTGGAAGAAACCAGAAAACTCCAGCCCTCCAGTCAAGAATAAGCCTGTGGAAAGTTACTTCTTCAAAAGCAAAAGTATCACATATCATCTCTTCTCATTTTTCTTCTCTTTATCCTTCATGCTGCCTGCAAGATAGGGAGAATGTGAATAATCAGCCGGAGCTCTGATTGCTTACCTTGTCTGTCACCTCTTTCAGCAGATCCCCTAACTCGGCGACTTGGGGGACTCCTACTACATGGTTTGTATCGCGCTTGACTAAGCCTGAAACTACAAGTAAGCTTCAAGTGACATTGATACATTACCTTGTGCATCTCCACCAGTTACAGATACCACCCCTGGATAGAGGAAGAGTACTTCCAGAGAAGATGCCACATCTACGTATGAGACAGATAAGGAAAGTCAAGACGATACCACACTCCGGTACTTAGAAGTTTCGTGGTTACGAGATCATTCTCCCACAATATTTCCTAATGTCATTTGTACTAAATCATTCACTTGTACTCACTAAAGGAGAGCTTGAACCTATGTACTTGTGTAAACCCTTCACAATTAATGAGAACTCCTCTATTCCGTGGACGTAGCCAATCTGGGTGAACCACGTACATCTTGTGTTTGCTTTCCTATCTCTATCCATTTATATACTTATCCTCACTAATGACCGGAGCAATCTAGCGAAGATCACAAAAAGTGACCGTTTTCGCTACCTAGGATCTATCCTGCAAGAGAACGGATAATTAGATGGAGATCTCAACCATAGAATACAAGCTGGATGGATGAAGTGTAAGAGTGCATCCGGCGTGTTGTGTGACCGTTGTAGGCCACTGAAGCTCAAGGAAAAATTTTATTTTATAGGACGGCAATAAGGCCAGCGATGTTGTATGGCACAGAATGTTGGGCAGTGAAGCATCAACACGTACACAAAATGGGTGTAGCGGAGATGAGGATGCTTCGTGGGATGTATGGGCACACGAGAAAGGATAAGATTGGGAATGAGGATATTCGGGTAAAGTAGGAGTAGCCAAAATTGAAGGAAATATGAGAGAAAATCGGTTCCGGTGGTTTGGACATGTGCAAAGAAGGCCTACTGATGCTCCGGTTCGAAAATGTGACTACAGGACAGAGGTTCAGGGCCGAAGGGGTAGAGGAAGACCTAGGAAAACTTTGGAAGGGACCCTAAGAAAAGACTTGAGTACTTGGATCTAACGAAGGACATGACACAAAACCGAGCGCAATGGCGTTCTAGGATTCATATAGCCGACCCCACTTAGTGGGAAAAGGCTTTGTTGTTGTTGTTGTTAAAAAAGAAACTGGAGGAATACTAAACCTACAATAATAAGCCTTTTATAACCCTTGCGGTTTAGTGACCTTTTGTAACCCTTGCGCCTGAGGGAGGATGTGTGCGTGTGTGAAGACCCTTTCTTTGTCTTAAAGCTTTGTATTTATATGCCTTTCCATGTCTTGATTGAAACATGATTTGTATTGATTTTGGACTTGATTAATTGACGAAAGAACCAAAACTTAATTTGAACTTGATTAATTGACTAAAGAACCAAGATTTGATTTGAAATTATTTAATTAACGAAAGAACAAAGACTTAATTTGAATAAGTAATGCCAAATAGGCTTATAGTTCGGTTGCTCACGAGTCGAGAGCATTCACCCAAAGTCTCGTGTTCGAATTTGGCCCCCTCCCCCTAGTTTACCCAAATTACTGTAGATTTTCCAGACTCCATAGAATCACTCTACATTATTGGCCTTTATCTTATCTTATGTGTATAGAATCACTCTACATAACTGCATTAGAATATAGAAGAAAACATTCAACGATCACCCCCAAGGTCTAAAAAATTAAGCACGGATTGCGTCTCATTCTATACAAAAGAATAAATTTGTGTTTTTTAGGTGATAAAACCAAAACATTAATCGCATTTAGACCAGAGCGTTCACATTTGATGATGCATGTGTTTTTTTCAAACAAGTATGGACGGAGAATTTAAGGTCTACCTAATCATGTTTACCTGAATTGATTTGATCAAAGTCTTCTCAGGACGAAAATTTTCAGTGTCTCGAAAGCATGGTCTGGTACATTAAGTGTATTAACATAATTGGTTGGAAATTTTCTTTTTTAAATTTTCAACCAGTTATATTATTACACATCGTGTACCGATCGTGTTTGTCATAAACTTAAAAATTCTCTTCTTGTAGAGTTTGAGATTTGTTAAACACGTAATTGGATAGTCTTAGAACTCGTTTAAGAAGTGTTTTTAAATGATTGAAAGAACTTTTAGAGAAATTTTTTTTAGGTTCCAAAAGTAATTGAAGTACTTCATTCAAGAAACACGTAACTTGTGCTTCTTGCAGGTGATGATTGATTTAGATGAATTTTTAAAAACTTCAGCCATTTACTAAGAATTTGTTTCAAAAAATTATTTAAAAAATTCAATCATTTAAAAATACTTTCCAAACAAATTCTTACACATTTTGTCTGTGACTAATTTTAGAGATGAAAAGGTATATTTAAAGGAAAACTAATGAAAAGGGTTTGAAAACTTTAAGTTTTAATGATAAGGACAAAATAAAGGGTAAAGTGAATAGTATCAGGATTGACTTTTTAGTGTAAAAATGTGATTTTTCGTTAAAGTGAACAGTACCGGTGCTTTTCGTTAAAGTTCCCTATATTTAATTATGGTGGCCCAAAATCCTTCCCAAACGTAATTAGAGGACTTGTCAACGCTAATGTGAGATTTGTGCCTTCAATTATGGTGTGAAGTGGCGTGGACAATCGGTCACGTGACATAGGAGGAAGGAAACACGTGTGTTCCAAGTGGCAATTGTTTTTGGCCAGCAATGTTGACTCTGAGAGGGGCATTTAAGTAATTCAAATCAAAGTAAAGGTGGTAGTTGATTCCATTCTTCAACTGTTGGGTAACAGGTAAGGTTTTCCCGTGACTCTGATTATAAAGCAGAGAACCGTTAAAATAATGAAGGAAAAAGGGGCATAGACTCCTTTTGGTAAGTAACCGACACCACATCATCTTTAAAATAAAAAAATTGATATTAAATAGATGACGTTTTACGGTAATGGTATTAAAAAAAAAATGTTTATGCATGATTTGATCCTTCGCGGTTTTTCTCTTTTAACAAGTAATAATTTAACAAACTAGGCATTGTGGACATGTGATCTCAAAATCATAATAATTTTCAATTCGAAGAAAGAAAAAAAAAACTTACATAAAATGAGAATGCAACTACTGACGGTAAAACTCACATGATAGTGCACGATTAGTTTGGCATGTTGATTAATAGTAGAAATCCTTATGCGGTTCAAGAGTTGGCCAATGAGGTAAATCTCGTTCTATAATAGAACCCATCATAACAAAATATTTTCAATCAATCATGTATTTTAACGTTTTTAACTTCTTTATGTGACCGTTTAAGGAGATAAATTTACTTACAGGATATAGTTGTCCAATAATCTTAACTAATTATCCATTGTTATGAGTTTCAAAATTTACTTACACATTATTATCTGTTATAACGTCTTTATCAACGCTAAGTGATTGACTTCAGATACGGTCCTTGTAGGATTGGTGTACCCAACTTTCGTCTTGGGACACCCGTTGATTTTAGTTGAAGGTAAAAAGACTCTTATATCCATATATAAAATGGTTTAATGATTTCTTAAGAAAAACAATTATTTTCAATTGGATGGAAGTTGTCGAAGCAAAGAAAAAACGCCTTTGAAGGCAGAAATGAGGAAGGCGGAAGGGCAATTTCGTTAATTACAATTGTTTTTCCTTTTTGGGCCTGAAAAAATGGGTATTAATGTGTTTATTAGATTTGTGAGTGTAGGTAGGATTTGGTGGTGAAAGTCTCTGTTTGTCTCTCTCTCTCTCCTCTCTCTCTCTCTCTCTCCCCTCTGGCTCGAATTCTGGAAGCCTCAAAGACAATTCCATCCAGTCGCACCCGAAAACCTCGTAAACCCTTTTCTTCCCGTTCATTTCTTTGCTGATTGACGCGAGCGAGTTGATAAATGGCGACTCAGTTCCCGGTCGATTTCAAGTGCCCGATTTCGCTCGAAATTATGTCCGACCCGGTTATACTCTCTTCGGGTCACACCTTTGATCGGGCCTCCATCCAACGCTGGCTCGACGCCGGCCACCGCACCTGCCCAATTTCCAAACTGCCCCTCCCCGACCACCCTTCCCTCATCCCCAACCACTCCCTCCGCAGCCTGATTTCCACTTATACCCTTCTCTCCCCTGCCAAATTACAACACCAGTACCACCAGCACCACCACCAATACCATCACCACCGCCAGCAGCGCCACTCCCAGCCCCAAACCCCTGTCTCGACGCTTACCTCCCCAGCTTCCACCCTCGAGTCCAAGCTCGAGTCGCTCGACCAGCTTACTCGCCTCTCCAAGCGCGACGCTGCCTTCCGCGCCAAGCTGACCGAGTCCGGCGCCGTTTCCGCCGTCCTCAAGTGCGTTGACTCGGAAGAGCCCCGCCTCCAGGAAAAGGCGCTGACTTTGCTGCTCAATGTTAGCTTGGACGACGATAACAAAGTGGGTCTTGTCGCCGAGGGAGCAATCGCTCGAATCGTGGAGGTGCTCCAAGGTGGGTCCCCCAACAGCCGCGCCGTGGCGGCGACGATGTTGACTAGCTTGGCGGTGGTGGAGGTCAACAAGGCCACAATCGGGGCATACCCGTGTGCAATTCGGGCTCTGGTTTCGCTTCTCAGGGACGGCAAGAGTCGAGAGCAGAAGGAGGCGGCGACGGCGCTTTACACCATCTGTTTGTTCCCGGATAACCGGCGGCGGGCGGTGGAATGTGGGGCGGTGTCGTTTTTGATCCGAATTGCTGAATCGGGCCTCGAACGGGCGGTTGAAGTTCTCGGTCTTTTGGCGAAGTGCAAGGAAGGTAGAGAAGAGATGGAGAGGTTTAATGGATGTGTGGGGATTTTAGTGAGGGTTTTAGAGAATGGGAGCTCCAGGGGAGTTCAGTATGCCCTGCTCACATTGAATTCGCTTTGTTCTTACAGCGAACGGATGCGTGTGGAAGCGAAAAATGAAAGGGCTTTATCACTTTGTGTAGGTTTGGTTGAAGATGACAATGAAGGGATTAGAAAAAATTCTTCTAATTTGGTTCAGGTTCTCAGTGGGAACCATTCCATGAGCTGAACTGCGAATGGAAGTCGAAGAAATTATCGATTTTGCGGGTTAGAATGGTTGGCATCAGTGGAGGTGAGTTGCGTTTTTGGTTTATTGTTTCTCCTTCTGTTGGGATAGTTTTATGTACAAAAGAAAAGGGATTAGATTTTTGTTGGGATATGGTTCTTTGTTTCTTGTACATTCGAAATAAAAAATAGCACACAGATGAGCTGGATTTCTGTTGTGATGTATGTATTATGAAAGTTTCAAATTGGTAATCTGAATTGTAAGTTGCCTCAGCTTATAGAATTTTTTCGGTTTCCCGGAAATGAATTCCTCTGTCCTATCTTTAGATACTTCCGTGGCATCTCATAGTTTCTGAATACTGTCTACCTATGTATCTTTTGTGCTATTAACTTATAACTCGAGAGTCTGTTTATAGTATGAAATCATATCCACATGAATTAGATCCGACGGTGATTTGTATTAATTCGATTTATGTTAGGATTGTGTAAAGGTAAGGAAAGTTCGGTCAATGACATCTTTTTAGTAAAGATGAGATCAAGAAGGATACAAAAGGAAAGTATTGTACAAGTTTTCCTATGCAACCTTCTTGGTTGTATATTGATTGTAATTGTGATGATCAGAAACTTTTATGTTTCTCGTATGTGTTTATGTAAGAACACTTTCATATTTCTGATCACAGGCCCTTCTGATTGTTCTCGTGCCTTTACTCTTGAGAGCAATAAATGGCCGAGAAGTTATTTCTCTTAGGATGCTTCTTACCTAAGCTCAGTTTCAGTAGCTTCTTAGTTCTTACTCATGCATAAATGAAGAAACTCAGGACTCGGGTCTTTGTATGCTTTACTTTACGCCTCACATGATTCTTAATTTCTTATGGGTGTTTATTTGTTAGACAAATTTTTTAGTATCGTCAGTTTTTCATTTTGGAGTACTATTCTTATAGAGGTCGTACTTGGTGCGATGGCAAGTGCCTTCGCCCACAAGCGGTAGGTCTCGGGTTCGAGACTTGGGAGCAGCCTCTCCATAAATGAGGGTAAGGCTAGCCGACATTCACCTCTCCCAGACCCTGCGTAAAGCGGGAGCCTTGTGCACTGGGTACGACCTTTATTCTTATATTGGTAGTCTGTGTCCCAAGGCAGCTCCGTTATGTATCATAAACCGCTGCTTTCATATTCATTCTGAAGACCACCACCAGTTGACTTTAATTCTGGTGTGTATATGACGTAATTAAACACTGATTCTAGTTCTTGTTGTTTTTGAGAAGCCGTTTTAGAAGGCATACACGTGAAAGTTATCTATGTATTGTGTTGTCTCTTTGTAACTTACCTCTTTCTTTTCAACTTTGTTTCTGAAAAATATAAAGATTTGATGCATAATTTGAGAGATTTGCTCTGCTGTAGGCTTAAGCCATAATATGTCTGCCCGACTCATGGACATAGGGAGGCTCTTTCGTATTTTGTATGGGGGATACATACTTGGAATGTAGAAGTACGTGGGTGCGTATTGTAAAAGAGCTACCTGATTTTGAATCTAGGAACTCCATGCGCTGCATTTTCTTTTAACGTCAAGGGTATTTCTCGTTAGGAAGTTTGTATTCGGTCCTTTTACTGTAATGTAACTGTAGTCTTGTTAACATATGAAAGTTATTGTGTCAAACTTGTTGGGTTCTTTGTTATCGTTTATAGTTGAGGCATAGGCAATGATCTTTTCTTATAGTTGTTGCTGTGGTGGGTTTGCTCAAGTAATTCACATCCTGTACCACTTTGCTGCTATGTGTTTTGATTAATTTTGATGGTTCTGCTCGACTAATGTGTCTTGATATACCCGTTGCGTTGCAATATTGAAGATCGGTGATTCAGCATGTTTGAGCCTGCAGATCTTTCCTGTGAAGATAAATATTTAATACACGTCGTTAGTTGAATTGTGTTCAGCCTTTTAGGGTACGCAACAATGAAGGCTTCTTGTGTATCCGTCTTGAGCATGAATTCAGTCGTGCTGAAATCAGTGAAATGGAGAGCAAGTATTGAAAAGTTTACGTGACCATCTTTTAAGAGTATTTTTATCAAACCAACCTCTTTAACTATCGACAGATTTTTCGTAATATGACGAAAATGATTTACGGTGGGCAACATTAAGGACTACTTGTATCGAATATCATTGTCAAATATTAAAGTAGAGTTATGCCGATTTCATGAACCGTTTTGGCTAAAGAACTATCTTTTTGTATTTTTTTTTTTCGGATAAAAATGTTCTTCTTTATGGCATTTGAAGCAACACATATAAGAATAAGATATCGTTAAATTATTGAACTCATGGACAGCCGCCTCTATTTACTACTCCAAACATTATAAATTATATTTGATGGGAGCAGCCTGCAGCCGGTGCTTTTCTTTAAAAAAATTAAGAGAGTCGCTGTAGCCGGCCTTCCACTTATTCAAAATTATTGTATGTACTGTGGGATATGTACAATTAGCTTTGTGTATTAGGGCTTGTTCCTCTCTCTCTCTCTCTCTCTCTCTCTCCTGGATATTATATGATGAAAGGGGCCATGTCATTTGGTGTGGAGTTGAAATTATTAGAAAAATGCGTAAACTGGATTAAATCGAGGACATATATGGAAGGAATCAACGATGATTGGGGAACCAAGAGGAGAAGCACGCTTAAAGACAAGAGCCATCGATTCATTCTCCACATAGAGAGAGAGAGAAAGAGAGAGAGAGAGAGAGAGAGAGAGAGCAAATTTTACAGCAAAGACACTCTCTCCCTCATCATTTAACCTTTGCCATATTTTCATGCCAAAATCATTTCGTTTTAAAAAAAAGGATTATAGTTAACTAATTAAGATTAAGCATCCTGCATTCTAATAATTCTATCATGTAGATAATTTGGGACCACTTAATACCCCTCCTAATCTTGATTTGACTTAAAGCTTGAGGTAACTAATTTCTTGAGACATAAGATAAGATGGAGGAACATTTCCTGTCCAAACTTGCCTTTAGGGCATTCAAACTCAAGCTATCGCGCCACCATCATCATATGTGATTTGACCTGCACATTAATTTGAACTGCAACAAGCATCCACACCTCCTACCTTCTCATTAACTATTGTATAGTAAGAGCAGTTCCAGCGTTGGCTGGTGCTCGGGGGAAAGGCTGGTGAACAGGGCCAGATAGCCTGACTGAAGTGCTCCAGCGTGTGGGAGCCCGAGGGACAGGCCAGGCCCGAGCAACAGGCCTATGAGGAATTGCCAGCCCGCGAGCCCGAGTGGATGTGACGCCAAGGCTGATGTCATCCTGGCGTCAGCCCAATTTTATATTTTTTTTCTGTCAGGCGCGTGCACCTCACCCGCGCATGGGGGCGCGTCAGCCGACACCTTTTCAGAAGCCAGGGCCCGTGTCGCAGTCTGCTGATGTTACCGTTGGGAAGCCACGTGGCTTCCCACGGTCCGTTCGATCTCAACGGCTCTTTAAATTGGACCGTCCAATTTGCAACGGTAATAAAAAAAATAAAACAACTTATTTAATATCAACCATTGGATTTGAGATCAACAATTGATATTATTCTGCTTTATAAATAAATAAATAAATAAAAGAAAAAATAGTTTTAAAATTAAGAAAAGTTACCGTTGTGACACGTGGCACAATCTGAAGTATTGGAATTCAATTTTTTTTTTAAATCCAACGGCAGAGATTAATTAGTTCAATAAAAAATTGTAAAAAATCTGAAATTTAAAAAAAAAAATTGTTTTACTTTTCTATAAATACCTTCTCATTATCATCTAACTTACACCACAATTTCATATTTCTCAACTATTTTCAATCAAATTCCTATCTTTCTCTTAATGTTTCAATCCAATTTTTTTTAACAAACTGACTATTGCTGCAGGTACGAATTGGTCACTTCTTGAAGATGTTGCGTTGTGTACTAGCTGGGTTGAAGTTACTCATAGTTCGCTTACGGGTAATGAGATGCAGTTGCGAGAAATGTAGAGTGTTATTCATACCAATTATCTTGAGAAAATGGGTGGGAAAAGAACCAAAGAATCGATATCCAATCGTTGGAAATTACTTAGCCAATCATTTAGTACGTGGAGAGACACCTTGGCACAAGCTAGTACTAATCTTCAAAGTGGGGAAAATTAAACGGATCAGGTAACAATATATTATTTATTTGTTTGTACTATACCCAAATTTACATTATAATTATTTGTTTGTATTATTTATTTGTTACCTACTTTCATTATAATTATTTGTTTGTATTATTTATTTGTTACCTACTTTCATTATAACTATTTCTCCGAAATTACAAATAAAATTATTTTGTATTATTTTATAACTTTTCGGATTATGACACGTGGCACAACGAGAATGATTAAAAATCTTATCCGAAATTACAAATAAAATTATTTTATATTATTTTATAAATATAAAAAAAATACTAATATTTTATTGCCTATTGCCAGGGGGAGGGCTCCCACCCTGGAGATGCAAAAGGCAATTAATGTTCATTAATGACAATTACTGTTCATTAATGACAATTACTGTTCATTTGGTGGATTGAATAGTGAATTACCTGGGGAGGGCTCCCACGCTGGAACTGCTCTAAAGCCTTGTGAAAGGGAGAAACTTGCAAAAGTCTTATGTTCGTCAAGTCAACAAGCGGATTGGGTGGATTGTTCGACAAACTTATAAAAGAACGTAACTCATTGGAGTTTCAACCTAAACAGATCAAGAGACATTTAAACACAGAGTGGTGTTTTTCTTTGAGGATAGATCAAACAACCCAGTTGATTTAACTGTCGGACGCAAGAATTTCTCCTGTACCGAAGTGTATACTCCTTTATTCTATTAGAGCGATGGATCTCGCGAAAACTAAATGCCCATTTAGTAATTTTTTTTCTTTTTTGATTTTTAATATCTTCTCCATAACAAATAAAAAAATGAAAACTATATGTAACAGAAAAATCAAATGTTAATTTATAACATTATATTGCAGAATATGTCAGATATAAGCCTCCAAACTCCTATCCTCCTGCATGCCTCCATCATATATTGCTTGGTAGTTTCCACCGGAGGTCCAGCTCTGAGATTTGACTGCGAACGTAAAAACCACCTACAGACGCTTTACACTGAATCATTCCAAATAACGTTTGTATCTTTTGTATTACCGAAACTTGCATCATAAATAACCTCCACCATATCGAAAGTAGAACAATATATTTTTAAAGTACACAAAAATTGATGAATAATCTTCCAAACCATATATAACAACAAGGGAATCAGAGTTTTAATTTAAACCTGGTTGGGCG